CTGTCATTGTATCATTCAAATTAATTATATTCAAAAATTAAAAAAGAAGAAAGACTTATTGTATTATTTTATTCATCCTCCTAAAACTTTATTATTCCTTGTTTATTTTGTGATGAATATTGTAGTATAGGTAGAAAATACACATTTATCCTATCTGTGAACAGTGCAGGTCTTGTGCTGTTGTTTTTCAGTTATTTTTGTTTTGAGTTTAAAATCGTTAGCGACGATGATATGGGGGAACATATAACTGATTACTCACAGTGTTGATTGGACAACTGTTTTGCTTTTATCCGTAAAACACGCCTTTTACTGTTTATCTATTTTGTTCGATACAATAAAGTTGCCGAGAAGATTAAAAGAGGAAGTTTTAATAATATCAAGCGGGTGGGAAAACAGTATGATTTATTGACTGATGAAAATGGATTTTTGAAATTTTTTAGAGAGGCCCACGTTATGCTGGATATATCTATGACAGAGATGTTTGCGACGAAATATCGGCACCATCTGAGACAGCACTGCATATCAACGCGTTGGAGAAACTGATTGTTGGCTTCTCCTACTTACTCATTTTTCTTACCCTTCCAATTTCGTTGTTCTTTTCCGTTAAGGTGATTGTTTAAAGACTGTCAGTGGGGGTAAGGCAGGGGAAGATGAGGTGAAAAAAAATAATTAATTAAGAAATTTTGAACAAGTGCAGCATTGAAATAACAGATTGAAGCATAAAAATCCAATTATTATATGTAAACTTAGCTTTCTTCTTTATTGTCAAATAAAAAGTCCTTTTTTAAGTAATCAAACATTTGTTTGCAAAAGTTTGCTTGCTTTTTATTGCCACTTGTGAGGCTTATTGTTTCTGAAAGATCTTAGACAAGCCTAGACTTCAAATCACAGACAGTTTAAGATTTGGATAAGCCTAACTGGTGAAAATAGATAAGAATGATTTGCTGCTATTGGTATGACTTCAGCAATGCAAGGGATGGCACTTTTTTTTATTGTTCAATATCTTTTGCGATTTTGGATTACAAATATTGACATTTGATCAAAATTTATTATTACATTGTATATACTGCTAAAGAAAAAATCTTTTATTTTTTCTTTTTGTTCTAGTTTATTAGCGCTTTTGAATGTTTGGTAGTTCTTCGACTGGGAAAAGCTCGAAAATTGACGGGTCCAGGAACAACTCTTGTTCTGCCCTGTATCGATTCGTATACCCGTGTTGACCTTCGAGTAAATGCATTTCATGTACCGCCGATGCAAATAATCACTGTTGATCGAGGCCTTGTAGAACTTGGTGCTACTGTTTTTTTTCAAGTATCTGTTACTTTTTTTGTTATCTTTTATTTTATTTTATTTTCTCTTTCAATTTTAATTGCTTAAATAGCGTATTGTTATAATAATTTAATTGTGTCATATAATATTAATTAGGTTTTTTTTTTTGCAACATCAGCAGCAATAACAGCAGCAACAGCTAGCGGCAATAGCAATTTCACTATAATTATATTTAGCAAAATTACGAATACCAAACAGCTGTATGTACAAGTTTAGTAAGTTTTGCAGATTAAAGATGCTGTTGCTGCGGTATGTGCGATAAAGGAACGGAATCAGTCGACACGTACCTTGGCAATCACAGTACTTCATCGACTGGTATGTAGGAAACGTATATGTGAAATTATTGGCGGATATGGTAAAGCTGAATTAGCTGAAGCTTTAAAGGTAACTTATACACATGTCCAGTAATACCATCAATAAACAATGAGCAGGAATGAACAGTAGTGAAAGATAGGTTGACAGTGGAATTTTTGAAGAAAATTTTAAATGTATTAATATATCAATGTTATTTTGTATTCTTTACTGCAGATAACGGCAAATAAAGTTTTACTCATTTGAGCAGTTATAAAATTTATGCTTACATCTTTTTTCTTTTGGTTTTTTTACTGGACGACAGTGACATAGTATTATTTGTTGTACAATGTCGTTTTAAGAGTTTTTTTCGGAGTCTGGAATTGAGCAGCAGCAATCTGTTAGAACCAGTGAGATCATCCTGATGTTATAATATTACACATATAGGTTGAATATAACAGGAATATTGTTTCTCTTGCTGTCATTTTCGTTTAAATAACATTTCATAGATTTTGTTGACAAGTTTTATATTTTAAGTTATATATCGACTATATACTTTTTTTTTCTATTTTACTTTTTTAAACACTGAAAACTGATCAATCAGTTGTGTTGGTGAATGATTATCGATGGTCCTTTAGGGTGAATTATTTGAAATGACTTCATCATGGGGTATTGAAATTACAAAAATTGAGCTGTCGGAAATTAAGGTGTTAAAGGATGGCGAAAATATTGCGCTTGAAACATTTACAAAGGTTAGCGAAAAAAATTGCTTTTTTTTCCATTGGAATTTTTTTAAAGACATATATGTAAAAGAAAAAAGGTTTAGGCTACTTATGATTACTTATAATATAATTACGTTTGTAGATTATAGAAAGTAGAACGCTTAGTCTACTTAAACCTCTGTAATATAACCATATTAATTGGGTATAAGTATACCTTCAACGTTTATTTTACAGTGTACGTTTTTTTGAAGAATTAGTACACATTTGTTTACCAGACACTTGAGCCTTATTCAATATACAATTTTTTTTTCGTGTTTTTTTTCTTTACGTATAGACACAAATAAATAACTGCGAAAATATTATTTTTTTTCTCCAGGTGCTAAAATCGGACTTTGGTGCTACATTGTTGAAATCATTGGGCTCAACTGTGCAAAGTTTTGTGATGGAAAACAAGGAGGAGAAAAAGGATCTTATTGATTTTCCGGACGACGATGGTGACGCTAAAGGCAAAGAAGATAAAAGTAAAACTGCTAAACGGTCAACAGAGAAGAACACAGCACAGCTAAACTCTGCAGTTTCTGGTTCTTCTCTACCCGGTACCAGTAAAGGATCTAACGAAAGCATTGATTTGGATCAACTGTTAGGCTTAATATCAATGGTTATCGATGAGCATTTGGTAGCATTAGTAGGACATATCTTTCAAATTGAATGTGTTGAAGTTGGTGATTTTTACATTGATTTGAAAAATGGCCAAGGTAGTTGTGGCAGAGGACGACGAGCAAATGCTGACGTAATTTTTCGTCTTCGTCAAGAAGCTTTCCAAAATTTTTTGAAAAAAAAATTGTCACCATTGCAAGCTTACTTTGATGGCACTGTACAAATTTCGGGTTCTAAAAAAGCGGCAATGAAACTGTCATTTTTGTCCGAAAGACTTGTCCATTTGTTTTGAACATTATCCTCAATTATTTTTTATCTTATAAATTGGTGATCTCATCTCATATCAATGCAGATTTTTTATTGCTACGATGCTACTTTTTTGATTCCAGTCGTATGCACAATGACCCAACTCTTCCCTTTTTTTATTTTTTTTTTGGTTATGCTTAGCAGTAGTTATCGTTTAGCTTAGGAGTAGCAAAAAAGAAAAGGAGGAAGAAGAATTGAAAAAATAAATGTTCTAATTTTACTAGATTCAATGTACAAATTAAGGGTACTGTCAGATTTAGCTTTTGTTTTGCAGATTGTTTTGGTAAAAGATAAGAAATATTGTCTTTTGTAGATGTGTTTTAAAGTGGCCATCTTTGCCACGCTAAAATCAGATAAATTTGATCAGACTGTATGGAATGTCAATCAACTAACAAATTGTCAAGTTGTTCTTTTGTTTGTTGTTGTCGTAGATGAAAGTGGTTCAGGGATGTTATTCGGTGGACATATGATTATTGTCTTGAACGGATGGCAATCGGTACAGGACGTCCCAGAAACTTTGGAACAAACATTTGGTAAATACATCTGTTTAGAACCTACAGTGATAATAAAGTCCTGTGTTTTTTTCACCTCTTTTTCCTTGTTTTTGACTCTAATAATGAAATTATTCTTGCGGATAAATGGTTAGCAATTTTTTCTTGCAAGTCTTTTTCCTTCATCCGTTACCGTTTTTCGGTTGTCGTTCATCATCAAGGACAGAAAAAAAAACGAGAAAAAAAAAACAAACTGTGATGTATGAACTTTTCAGATCTTCTTACTGACTCTATAAATTTAAAAAGATAAAGTGAAAAAATAAATGGACAGAAAAAAGCTAGTAAAATTGCATGTAAAAACAGTGGACATAATAGTTTCTTTTTTATATTTGAAACTATCCTTGTTTTTTCACATTAATGAATTGTTTTTAGACTTTATTTTACGAGAATGATTGTCTCAGTTTCTTAAAACAGTATAAAGCCAGTCCCTGTCAACTTCTTTTCCATCCACCTTTTATGACTCTTCTCAAACTAGTCAAATTTCCAACAATGATCAATGGTAAAAAAAATTTTTTTTTTTTGAATTTTGTTAAGTGTGCAGCAAATTTTGTTTCTCTATCTCTGAATATGCTTTTTTTCCAATCTTAACAAACAGCTATTTGAAGGTATAAATATTGAAGATCATACTTATTTTTTTGCAACATTATTGCAGATAAGATG